GCATGATTGGTGGAGCACCACGAGACTAAGAGGAGGCACCGCGTTTAAAAAAAGCTTATTAATATATTTAATTAAGAATTGAAGTTTATTCGATATTATTTGAAAATTGTAGTTGAAAAAAATGCTGGAAAAAGCTTGGTACTCTTTGCAGCGAAATCAATAAACACTCTCTTGGACTAGAGAAAATATGCTGCAATTAAGTGTAGTTGAAATACTGTACGTTTGTTTCAACGGTTTGGTCCCCCCCAGGCCCCCCAAGGTAAAACAGGATAGAGATGTAGACTGGTAGATCAATCAATCCATTGTCTGATCCGCTGACCCTCAGGAAGGTCGCGGGCGTGCCTATCCCAGCTATGGTCGTGCGGTAGGCAGGTACACCCCGAACTGCTTGCATGCCATTTTATTTGGGTGTTAGGCAGACGACTGTCCCCCTGGAATTCTGCCAAGCAAAAAGTGGGCTTCAAATATGTGACGCAAACTTCCCTTGGTATCGAGCCGACTCGCATGGTTTGAGTGCCATCAGTTAGTTTCATATGAGTAAAACTTACACACTGAATCCCCTTGGGATCCGGGGTAGGCTCAAGCACGCCCGCGACCCTGGTGGGAATAAGCGGTTCGGATAATGGATGGATGATCAAAGGGTCTCTACGCTATGGCCAAAATCCAACAATTACAGTCATCCCCAAGATCTTATTGTGCTCTACTCTGCACTCATCAAAAAACACTCATGTAATCATTACATTTGCTTTCCTTTCTTTTCATGTTTCATGTTGCTCTCCCTTTCGTTTGTGTAATAGAATGAGTGCCAAACTTTCCAACTGAGAGAAATAAGTCATTTTTGGGAACTTCGTTTAAAGGGCCCAGCTCAATGGCTGAAGGGCGTCTGCTTCATGTCATCGAGTCAACTCTGAAGGATTCACTTGCCAAAAACACGAGACCTTGGACTCTGAGTGTGCGGCGACTGAGGTTACGCTCCAGTAAAAAGCTCATTTTGATTCACTAGATATACAAATGATTAAACACACCGGTTCCACCTATCAGCATAAACAGCATACATAATCCATCAAATGTCATCGATCAACACCTTTTTTTAATGAAAAAAACAGCCAGACCCCTGCTGTAATCCTGAGCTTTCACTTTACTGCCTCATTTTTCAAATTTATCTTGTTGCATCTGATTAAATATAATCCCTGCTGCTTTCTGTGCGTCGCAGTGAATTACATTTAACTGCAACGATTATTTGGATGCATGGCAGAGAAGGTGAACACATCATATAAGAGTGCACATTAGTGAGGGGCCTATACATGAAAAAATAAAATAAAACTTACTGATTGAAAGCAGAATAAGACAAGTGGAAATGTGTCACAGTAATGGGCTTCTTTCAGAAGAATTTTTATCGTCAAATTGGCCAATAAAAACCTTCCCAATGTCACGAAATCCTGTTTAGATTAAATGTGTGAGGTGTTTCTTTTATGGTATTGGGAGAGCTGGTTCTAATCATTTTGAAATCTGATGGAATGCACTGGTAAATGGAATTAAATTAAACACCCTTCTCTGACGGGCTTCAACCAGCTGGCCTTGTTAAAGCCCAAGAAAGGATTGTTAAAAGGTGCTGACGAACACCAATTCGCTAGGCTAAAGAAGATGGAATTTTGGTCATTGGACTGTTCATGGTAAGGCGATTAATCCTGTAATGAGAGCAGTCGCGAGAATGTCATTCTTGTTAGATGACCGTGGAACCCAAAAATCAGTATGTCTTACAAAAGCCATTAAATGTTTCAAGAAAAAACACTCCTATTATTTGCATCCATCCATGTTCACAGAGATTGACCCTTGCATTCAACACATCATAGGAGTGAACACAGTAAACACACCTTTTGCACTGCAGGTAAGTCACCCCTTGCCGTATGTACAGCCTGGTGTATACAATTAACTGTTTTGATCTTAATATGAAGAACGATTTACTTCTGAAGACGGCCTACGGCAAGCCTCTCTCTTCCATTTCGTTTTTATATTCTACTTTTATGGGTGGCACGGTGCATATTGGTTAGCCTGTTTCCCTCACAGTTCTGAGGTTCTGTTTTCAAATTTCAGCTCGTACCTTCCTGTGGAGACTTTTCATGTTATTTCTGTGTTTGCATGGGTTTAATGTGGGTATTCTGGCTTGCTTCCACATTAAAACAAAAAATCATGCATGTTAGGTTCCCTGAATGATATATATTGTACTTTGGTGTATGTGTGTGTGAATGGTTCCTTGTGTATTAAGCAATGATACAGCATGCGACCTGCCACTGCCTTGGGTCCCTTCCTGGGTGTACCCTACCTCCCACTGGGATAGGCTCCACCTTATCAGTGACCTGAATGAAATAAAATCAAATTTGAAGGTGGACAAGGGTTTTGCCTTCTGATTTGACAAGGCAGTGAAAATGAGGAAAATTTAAACGTGTTGCTTCTGTTCCACACTTTTAAACTGCATAACAAGACCCATGTGTGCGCGAGCGCACACACACACACACACACACACACACACACACACACACACACACACACACACACACACACACACACGCGCGCACACACACACACACTGCCTTGCACCCAGGCAGGATTAAGTGGCGTTTTACAATGAGTTATGGTGGTGGCGAGGTGTTGTACATTCTTCTGGGCTGCAGCAGATGCAGTTGATGGACCACCACCACTATGACTATATAGCTGTCATTTTTCTGTTACGTTTTGCCACAGTGTATATTATGAACACATGCACATTTTGTCTCTTTGCACAGGGTAGATCCGCGGCATGGTTCTCAGCACTGCCATATTTCATTACCATTTCCTCAGCAAGGCCCCTTGACGCCCTTGTGAAAACTGACCCACTCACAAGCCAGCCTTCTATAACTCATGCTCTTTAATGAACTTTTCCCTGGCTGTCTCCTCCCATGGAACCTTTTTTTAATCTACCTAGATGTTGTTGGGCAAACATGTTTCAAGCCCGACTGAAAAGAGTGTTCTCCTCATTATTGCCAATAGCAGTCATGCAACATCTGTACAACTGAAGGGTAGATCCGCGGCATGGTTCTCAGCACTGCCATATTTCATTACCATTTCCTCAGCAAGGCCCCTTGACGCCCTTGTGAAAACTGACCCACTCACAAGCCAGCCTTCTATAACTCATGCTCTTTAATGAACTTTTCCCTGGCTGTCTCCTCCCATGGAACCTTTTTTTAATCTACCTAGATGTTGTTGGGCAAACATGTTTCAAGCCCGACTGAAAAGAGTGTTCTCCTCATTATTGCCAATAGCAGTCATGCAACATCTGTACAACTGAAGTGCTCTGCTGTCCCCATGTGGTTGGTTTTACACACTGGCAGCAAGTAAGCTTATGAATCGTGCATCTCCCACAAACATTTGCTTGTATTTATAAAAAACTTTAAATTCATCCATCCGTTTCCTGTTGCGCTTGTCCTTGGATAGTGGGCCAGAATTTTCTTCGAAGCCGTCCGGTAGTCTTTCTCCATGGCCTCACTGAACTCCTCCCACGCCTCGATGACTGCCACAGCTGCATTCCGCTCGGCTGGCCAGTACCCACCAGCTGCCTCCGGAGTCCCGCTGGCCAAAAAGGCCGGATAGGACTCCTTATTCAGCTTGACGGCATCCCTCACCGCTGGTGTCCATCAATGGGTTTTGGGTTTGCCAGCACAACAGGCATCGATCACATTCCAGTTACAACTATGGTGGGCTGTCTCAACAATGGACGAGAGGAACATGGTCCACTGTGAAACAAGTGCACATGGACACCTTTATGTCAGAACACGGTGTTCGTTGTGGACGATCCATGAGCACAAAAGTCCAATAACAGAACATCAATCGGGCTCTGATTGGGGAGGCCATTCCTCCCAATTACACCCTTTCAGGTCTCATTGCCATTGCCCATGCATGTGAGCACTGAAGCCCACCAGCAGAATTACGGAGTCTACAGCATCCACTCCAAGGACTCCAAGATGGTCTAGTACTATTAACTGCTATTTGATGCATCGGAACAAACAACAGCCAGGACGGGTTGACGTTTGTTATGTATGTATGTTTGTATGTACGTACGTATACAGTATATGTATATAGGTGATATGTATGTAGGTGATTATGAACATCCCATGCGGTTCCTACCCTCCGAAATGATTGTTAAACACTTAAAATATTTAAAATATGAATTTTGAATGCAAAAGAATAAATACAAAATAAATCATGTGATGCTGATTAAAGGCGATGAAGTGTCTAATTTTCATGGTCTTGGTTTTCTCAACTCAACTGTATTTATAGAGGACTTTCAAACACCCGTCGCTGCACACAAAGTGCTGTACATGGAGCAACTAATATACGGTATACAATAGTAAAGCAACAAATCAGTAACAAAGACGGTAGAGAGCACCAAACAGTATAACTAAGATCATAAAACATGTCCCACAAAAAAATTGACTGGTCTGACTGAGAAAGCAGAAAGAGACAATGTGCCAAAATAGCGAGGTAAAACTAAGTTGTGGTCACAAATCGAAATGCACGATCGAGTGAATCTTCAATAACCGAGCCACGAAATTGGAAGGGCATGTTTCTGATTCAAAGGGTTTATAGACATGAAAGGACGAAAGAGAGTTAGCTTGCTGCTGCTTGCTATATGAGAACAGTCACCTTTGTGTGGAGAGTTGAGACGTGACTTTTGTCTGATTTACCGCATCTCCATACCTAAAAAAGACATTAAGGGAGAGAGGTAAAATCAACCGCACCTGGGATTATGATTGACATCTTGAAGCAAAGGCGAGTTAAAGGAACATCATCTTTTGTCAGTGCATTAAGGTGGGGGCCCCATGATTATATTTGCGTTTAGCTCCCCAAATGACTAGCTACACCCTGACTAAAAACCAAGAGCGTCTCGCGATTTTTTTTATTAGTTTTTTATTACTAGCCTGCTTCGGGAACCCATAACTTGATGAAAACAAATTGGCCATCCTGAGACCTGGAGCAAACGGCTTGTGTGTGTCTCCTCCAAGTGGCAATGTGTAAGAATGCATCTGTGAGCAGAAGCCACCTACCTCACTCCGGAGCTTGCCTTTTCGGTCCCGGAGGCTTCGTCCACCACTTCTTTTTTTTTTTTTTTTTTTAACTCAGTCGACGTCAAGACGGAGAGAGAGGGGGGGAAGGACGCAGAATGGCGGCCGTGCCGTGCTCCAAGTGCACGGCAGAAAGAAAAGGCTTTCGGCGGGAACTTGACTCTTGGCGATGCAAGCTGATCCACTGCGTCGGTATGATCTCCGTGTTGTTTACTTGCTTCCAAAAAAAACAATACACCGCAAGGAGCGCTGGTCCGACATAAAGAGGTTTGCTCCACCCGGCTATGTTACTCGGTAGCTAGTAACTAGCCGGCTAGCTAGGTGGCGAGCTAGCAAGCTAGCGCCAACCTCATAGGTGGGCAACAACTTAAACTGACAGGCTAGGATGTACCAGCTGGCTAGTTGACACATTCTCTTTGTGCCCTCACCAACGTCCATAAACACGACTTGTTTTCGACCTGTGACTGTATTTGAGAGGTTACTCCACACGATGCATAAAGGTGTGTCGTAAAATATGCCATTTGCTCTATGTAATTGACACTCAAGGCTTATTGTGCACCGGATAATTAGAAACGCGAACACCCTGCTAATATTGGGGGATGGGGGATTATGGCTGTGATAAAGCAGCTAAAGTATACTTTGATATATATAGTACACGAGAAGACGTATTTCAATAATTGTGTTGTAGCCATGTTAAAAAAAGGAAGCTGGCAACGTTACATGGCATGTCCATAGTATGTTCGCCGTTTTTGTACTTGTGTTTAAGAAACAATAAATATGTGAAATGTCTAAGGCCATTTAACGAACAGGACAATAATGGTATTGATGAAGACATGGCCAAATTGTTAACCTGTAACTGAAACGAGCAGCGGATTTGCAGCATATTTTATTATTATTGAGGAAATTGAGTATACCCTGTTTTTTTGTGGTTTTATGTTGCAGGGTTTGAAAGCATCCTGGAGGGAATATATGGGTCTATGCTGACAAGAGACCTTAACTTATTTGATGGTGGGTCTTTGTTTAACTTGACAGATTTTTTTTTTCAAAAGTTAGTTGTATTATATTTTTGCACAAATTTGGTCAATACACACTTATGTCACAGTATGCCAAAGAAAACTATACAGAGTTGGACATAGTGATAATTCCTAGCCACTGTATCGCAGCACAGGCGGCCCGGTGGCCAAGTGGTTAGCGCGTTGGCCTTACCGTGCAGAGGTGCGGGGTTCGATTCCAGTTCCGGCCTTCCTGTGTGGATTTTGCATGTTCTCCTCGTGCCTGCGTGGTTTTTTTCCGGATACTCTGGTTGCCTCCCACGTTCCAAAAACATGCATGGCAGGTTAATAGAACACTCTAAATAGTCCCTAGGTGTGATTGTGAGTGCGAATGGTTGTTTGTCTATGTGTGCCCTGAGATTGGCTGGCAACCAGTTCAGGGTGTCCCCTGCCTACTGCCCGAAGACAGCTGGGATAGGCTCCAGTGCACCCCGCGGACCTTGTGATGATCAGCTGATCAGAAAATCGATGGATGTATCGCAGCACATCATTGTCTTGAGAGGTCATCCATTTGGTGTGCTGGAGGAAGTTATCCAATTTTATGTAATTGGTCAGAACGTTATTTATTTACGCAGAGCAGCATATCTTTGTTCATCATTCTATGCGAGTGATGTATAGTGGCAGGCAGAACAATTAAATGGTCTTCCATGAGATGACAGAAATTATACAATTACCTTCATTTAGTTTTTGTGACATTTTTCCGATATAATTCTATGCAGTGGCTCATAAAGGTTGAGAAACACTGCATAGGTGGTTAGATACAGCCCCTCGTCTTTGTTCATTCCTTTTTTTGTTGTCGTTGGCTTTCAGACTGTGAACCCGAAGAGGTGGTTGACTGGTCTCCAGAGGCAAACTGCTCTCACTGCTCATTCTGCAACCTTCCTCTGGAAAAAGTCAGTGTAAGAATTGGATTGGCGATTGTTCATAACTTATTATCCGAGTAGTGCGCTTTCATACATTTTCTACTTGCTTCTTTTTAAATTTTATTTTGTATTTATTATAATTCATTTTATTTTGTATAGGATCCAGCACCTGCAACCACATCACCCCTCTCCTCCCCCTCTGATTTTTCTCCATGTCAAGCTCCAACCATCTCTGAGAACAACCACACAGCTCACAAGTTCCTTCAAGCTGTGTTCCACAAAAAAGGTGAGTTTGACCAGCCACAAGTTTGGACACAACTTCTCATTCTGTTTTGTATTCCGGAGTCAGACTGTCTTAAGATGTATGAACTGTTAGGGCAACGTTTTAAGCAAGATTTTATCTTTCTTATTTGTCATACATGTATATAAAGTTAAATACATTATTACAGAGCTAAAGATTCACAGTATTTGTTGAAGATTGTCAAGTTCTGCAGAAGTTTCCGATGACAACAGTTGGACGTCGGAAATTCTGTCCAACTTTATCAGAGAATTTTAGGTCTGAATTCTGAATTGTAAGACATTATTGACATGTGAATTACCTTGAGATGGTGAAAACATTTATTGGAACTGGATTTTCATTGCCTTGGACAGATGTGTCTCCACGCTGTGATGCCAGTATCCCTCGGATTGCGGAGGAGCTGATGAAGAAGATGATTCACCAGTTTGCCATGGAGTATGCATCCAAGTGCCTACTCCACACCAATTCAATGGATGTTACAACCAGGATCTCCTCGCCTTTATCTGAAACGTTAGATGCCCCCTTGGACCTGACCATAAACCGAACTCCGGGAGTAATAGAAAAGGAATCTGACGCAGGTTAGTGGCAATCTTTAAAAATCCCAATAATTCCGGGTGTCATGTTTAAATTTTGAATTATGTGGCTTTTGACATGGATGTATAGATAGATAGATAAAATCCCATCATTCTCTCTGAACTTGAATTTTCCTGCAGCAGATGGGGTGCTCGACCTCTCCAAAAAGAACGCCGCCAGCTCAACAACTTCATCTAACGTCAAAGCCTCAGGGTAAGAAGTTTATGACAGATTTGACTCCTTATTTGTACTAAATAGCTGGTATTGAACCTTGTGTTGAAAGACGAGCGGAAGCTGTGCTATTGCAGTTCCTATGGAAAGACACTGATTTGACGTGATACGGGTATTTTGTTGATTTGTAAAAAAGTCTTCTCCAAAACCAAGTGAGAGAGTGCCAATTTTCTCACGTTCATTTTGGTTGGGCAGCTAAGTATGTTTTAGATTCTTGATGGGTACGCACTCTTTGATTGGCTGTACCACGGCTCTTCTAATTTGTGGTGGTCTACTTTGAATTTGGTTAAATGGGGTTAACTCTTCTATCTCTTGAGCGGTAACGTCACAGCATTGGCACAGTATTTTAACAAATGCCAAAAGCCCAGGATTGTACACTTATGAGACTTGCATTACAATCTCCTATCAGGAATCCATTTTCTTTTCAACCAATCCAGTTATGAATCTGATTCCTCCACTTAACGTGTACATGATAAAGACTGTCACTGAAGGATAACAAAACTGCAGCGGCAACACCCTGTATGTGTGTAAGGGTCCAGACAGAGGCTGCTTACAGGCATGCAATAACAGGCAGTGATGTTACCAACAAGGCATAAAGGAGTGGACCCCTCCCCCCCTTTGCCCAAATCACACCAAATCTCCATCATCTCCATCCTGACCCTGCTGTTTGGTCCTCCCATCCCTAGGAGGCTGCTCAGGCAGAAGGAGTACATTGAGAGGAGTTTGGAGCTGTCTGAGGGGCTGCTGTCCAAGGCCTTGAAGGATATACGCTCAGGAAGGCTGCAAGAGCAGCGCGCTGCATTGCTATACGGAATTCCCCTCCACACCCTGAGGCAAGGCCTGGAAGACTGCTCAGAAGGCCGCTTGGGAGCGCTGCACCCAGGGTCACAAAGCAACAGAGATTTCAGGGAGGAAATGACATGCTACAGCACGACGCCATCGATGCTTGGCGGCGAAGCCCGTCTCGTTCTGCAGAAGGTGGCAGCTTGGGCCGAGCGGGCTGAAATTGGAGGAGATGCAGAGGAGAACGGAGAGCTCAGTTTCCCGCCATCCTCCCTCCCCTTGTATCAGTCAAGTGGTCTACAGGGGACCCTCCCCCACTCTTTTCCCCAGCTCAGGGATGCTCTCCAACCCCCTTCAAGCCCCACTCCCAGTCTCGAGGCACCCACACCCCTTCGTATCCCTCAGGTCCGCTCCATGTCCAATCATAGCAGGTTAGCCCCGGCTGAGATTCACACTACTACTGAAAACCGCCGTACCTCACCAACGGAAGGCGCTGCCAATGTATCGACCACCACTGCCAGACCTTTGTCTTTCGTCAAACTCAGATCACCTTTCCTGCCACACGGCTGTGCAGGAAGTGCCAACCAGTCACCTCTTCGCCTGATACAGCGCTGCTCCTCATTGGATGATTCCGAGGAGGGAGCTGACCGCCGCGACAAAGACAAGCAACCGAGAAAGAAACGCGGAAGATACCGCCAGTATGATCACGAACTGATGGAGGAAGCCATCACTATGGTGACGGCCGGCCGCATGAGCGTATCTAAGGCCCAAGGAATTTATGGGGTACCCCACAGCACACTGGAATACAAAGTAAAAGAGCGTAGTGGAACACTGAAAAATCCACCCAAGAAGAAATCTGCCAGCTTGTTCTCGCCCGGTTCCACTAACTCAGGGACTCTTGCCTCACCTGCTGCTGCAAAGTTGTTCTAGACAAAAAAAAGAAAGAAAGAAACACGTGCAGAACTCCTCAACTCTTGAACCTACCACCTCTTACAAGATAAATGTTTTCATGGGATCTTGCTAAAACGCAACACATGCCTTTACAAATACATGGAAATATCATTCAGGTTAAACTGTGAGTCTGTTTTTGATAGTCATACTTTCTGCTGTGTTTCTGCGATTTGGTCCTGGACTTTAATGGAACCACCAATGTGGTGGCGGGTACTTTGGGCCTGGTGTTTTCTATTTAAAACAAGGATTTTTATTCTCTGGAAATGAATTTCATATTTTAGACAATCCTCAAAAACAGTTTATGATGGAATAGAATAGATGATTGGTTTTAGTTCCGGCATATGTTCCAAATTACTCAGCTCAGAAATCTTGTACGGTCACTGGAAATGCTGATCGAGGTCTTTTTTGGTTATGGTCCTTTCAACCACCCATCAATAAAATATGACTTGATATTTTCCAAGATCAAATGACTGAAACACAGTGACAGTAAAACAATGACTCCAGTGTTAGTTAGCTGTTAGGAAACTAAATAGGTTCTTCAGGTTTGACTTAATTCTTAAAGCTCCTTGTTAATGACACAATGATGATTGTCATTTGCAGCTTTCTCTCTCTCTCTATCTCTCTCTCTCTTTCTCTCTCTGGGTATCTGACCAAGGCCATTGAAGTGACTTAGAGCCATCATAACAATAAACTCTCATTGTAATTATTGTTATAAAACTCTGCAAGCAGGAAGATTGTATATTGTTAACTACTGGGATTTTAATGTGGGTTTTTGTTGAAAAAGACTAGTGTTTAAAAAGAAAAGCCATGTGTTGTCTTGAGTTGTTATTTTCCTTTCTAGTGGGAATGCATTTTGTGTAGCATGTTTTCAAATGTGCACTGATAAGCTTGGGTATACGATGTTATTGTATATGTGTATTGTTAAAGATGTTTTATGACCTCAGATATTGACTAATGTTGCTACTGTAGCTGCATTACTGTACAACCTCATACGTGACTGCTGCTTCAAAATGTCTATTTGACGGGACCATATGTTCCACACAAGCGTGCAGTTTACTTCGACAGTGGTGATTGGGAGATGGCATTCAAGACAAAATGACTTTGTGTATTGTGCGTATAAATCGATAGGCCTAATTGTGATTACCTGATTGTGGTGATGGCTGGCAGTGTGACAGTGGCTTGACTCAATGTAAAGGGCCCACAGGCTTCTGTCTTGGAAATGGTTTCACTGGAATGGTTGTTGCTGTCTTTTCTCGTCTTGTCTGTCCTTGAGATGGACCGATCTCCGGCAACCGCAGCAAGAGCGCTAATACCAAAGCAGCAGTTCAGTTCAGGGTTACCAACAACAAGCTGTTTCGCTACGTCTGTTTGCTGTGATGTCAGCCTGCACGCCTCTTTATCGAACCTCTTTGCCACATATACCTCTGAACTTAATTTGCCAAGAGCCCAGTGTCTGAATTTTTTTTGTATTCACCACCGTCGGTCTCAAGGAACAATGTCTACACGTATTCCCATCTCTGACACATACTACGCTTTTAATGGTTTTATTGAACACTGTGGCGTTTACAGATCTGCCTTGATTTTGCCATTAGGTTTACAGTCTCGTTAATCTTTGGATGTGCTTTAAATAAGACCCATCAGATTCTACTCTGATACTGATTATCTCCACTTCTGAATGTTCTTGATCTTTCTTCAACCTCAGTGACTGTGACTACACCATGTCACAAATGTCTTTTTTTTTTTTACTTTCCTTGCTACTATATGAACAACTCTGTTTGTAAACAAAGCCGAACCACCTCTTGAGAAACAGACAGCTGAGTGATTCATTGCAGTACATTTGAGATTACCATCTTAATTATTTTCCCCGTTCCCTGGTGGTAAATCGAACAGAATTCTGCCATTTATGCATAAGTGTTATTGCACTATGACAGGGGTGTCAAACTCATTTTGGTTGTGGGCCACTTTGTAGTTATGGCTTCCCTCAGAGGGCTGGTATGACAGTGAAACGAAATGAATGTTTAATTATCTCATCGTATTATTAATATACCTGTACACAACAAATTGTTGGATTAATAATTTTGAAATGAGAAGTCAAGGATAATAGTAAAATAATTGTTCAAGTTACGGTAAAAAAAGTGAAATCTCACCGTTACTTATTACAGCTCATAATTTAAAATTTTGGTTCAGGTTTTAGCACAGATCATGGAAGTTGACATGATTTGCTTCTGCGGGCCACATAAAATGATGTGGCGGGCCTTGAGTTTGACACCTGTGCACTATGTGGAATTCAAATCATGTCTCTGGAAACCTTTTATGTGTGGTACATGTTAGTTGCATTTGTGCTTGAAAACTGAGTTTTACTAGTTAGCTTGTACGTGTTGGTTTGTAAAAGAGCACTTAAATTTAATGTCAAATGTGTATTGCGAAAATTGCATGAATGCTTTGAAATGTTAACCCGCTGTATTTAATTTCATCCCCAAATGAGACCCATGAATGTTGTGATTTTGTGATTATTGAGTGATTAGTAGAAAATCAAAAGGAACACTAGAATGTAACAACTTTTGGAAGAACCTGTTGCAAGTCCAAACATGGAGAATTGAGTAGTACATAATTCTCTTACGGTTTCTGTTTTAATTTCACTGTACACTTTCACTATAGCATCAAAATTAATCTTACTCATATCTGTGTATCCATGAAGGATAAAAATATATACCAGCATATCTACTGGTAATGTAACGATGCCATCATACCTCAAGCAGGCATCTTAAAGTGCTGTATTGAATTTAGACTAGTCCAACCCTGACAAGTTCTTAATTCAAACTTAACCTAAGATTTTGGAAATGGTATCGCATTTCAAAAATGTTATTTGATCGTGTTTAGTGGGAAATCTTTGTCATGACCCGATTTAACCGTTGACTTGAACATTAGTTTGTTGATCTGTTAAGATTGTAGGTGAAAGTGCTGTACAAAAGGAGGTTTGAGCGTTTCTACAATCATTCCTGCTGTGTTTAGCAGAATGTTAATTTGCCTTCTGCAACTCAATAAAACAGCTCTCAAAAAACTGCCAACTTGTCCGAATTTTTTACCGATTCAAATTCGTAGCCAGACTGGTAATGTTGCAATACATTTGTGGGCCATTTCTACCTGTGTGCATCTAATTATCTGGTGACTTGACAAAAGGACCAACTTGTTTGTTTTTTTTTTAATTAAGAAATGTGGGAAAATGCATTTATATTATGCAAGAATGGAAATCCGTTATTATTGATTGACGTTTGTCAAATCACGGGTTAGTGAAAAGGCTGAAAAGAATACACGACATGTGCAGTAAATGTTTACTGGAAAGAGGGCTCTACTGATTCATCTGTCGGCTCATTTGATTGGCTAAAAATTAGCGGCAACAAAAAAAAAGGGGCAGATTTTGTAAAGTTGAACCCATACTAAAGGACATTTTTATTTTATTTTATTTTTTTAGACCAGTCAAATAATGTTCTGCATTTAATTCATATGGGTCAGAGTTAGGAGACCCAACAACTTTTAGTCACTTTTTAATTAATAGGCCAAAATGTTATTCTGCCAAATAGGAATCGGCATCGGCCTAAAAAAAAAAAAATTAATAAAATCTATCAATTGGGCCTTAAGAGAAACATGATATCATAGTCAGACTAGGTATTCTGTACAATTACGTTGTTCAAAACTACTAACTAATTCCTTTGTATTTTGCCCCTAGCTGCCCATCTACTATGGATAAAGAAGAATTGGAAGATTTAGAACAGAGGAAGCGCCACCCGCAATCTGCACTTTATGTTGTCCTTAGCTCCCTCTGTCCGGCCCATTGTTCCTTACTCTACCAGATGCTGAAGTTGGCACACAAGGAAAAATGTCTCTCACCCCCTGCCCACAAACACATTCCAACAGAAACTCACGGCTGTCACTGTGGATTACGTGCAGATGATGATGCCCTTAATGAGTGTGAAGCCGGAAGCATTCATTCATTCAACTCTTCTTCACCGAATTGTGGTCATCAAGATGGTGGAAGCACAGCGGGCCATACAAGAGACTTACCTTTAAAAGGCTGTGAGGGTGTAGTGCCATTGGACCTAAATGACAGCTGTATGCAAAATTGTAGGATACGTACTTGCACTCAAATTTGCCCTAAGAAGCTCCACTGTACTACTAGCCAAGATCCGCCTTCAGATCCCATCAACAACTTAATGTGCTCATTTGGTCCTTGCTCTTCCATCCGCTGTAATCAACAACCCCGCTCTTATTTATGTGTTACAAACCACACCTGTGTGACCCATCTTAAGAAAACAACAGGAGATTGTGAGCCCCCTCCTCCTGTCCTGAATAGGGAGCAGAGCCCTTCTCCTCCACCCCTGTCTCCAATCTCCTCAGATATTGATAAATTAAACGATGAAATGCCACCGTCCCTGCTCCACCATAACCAGGACGAGGAAGCTGCCCCCATGGTTAAAGATCTTCCAGGAACTCACCAGGAGGTAGCTGTGGATGCAGCAAAAACAGTGGAGCTTGTTCAGTCTTCGACTCCAAGAAATAGCCAAGCTGAGAAGAACCCAAATGTGACTTCACTGCAGGATGTTGTGAACCGCTTCAGCGAAAAACTTGATACCATCAAACCTCCAGAGAAGGACCCATCTCTGCTCTCGTCACCCATTGATGCTTCTGAACAGGAGCAGCTGGATTCACCAACTGGCCAGAACATGAAATTTCCTGCTGATGCCCTTCTGACTGAAATTATCACCACAGTGCTTCATACACGCAGCGCCAGCGACTATAACCTCAGTGAGCTGTTTAATCGGCATGATAACAAAGATCCCAAGTCACCTAATACGCGCTTGCGCCGTCGCCAGGAAGTGCTTGCTGCTTTGGCCACACCTGCCGATGGTGCCACAATGCGAAGGCAAAGCTTGCAAATCAAACGAGAGCTTGCAATGTTTAACATGCCCTACAATAGGAGAAAGTCATCACAAGCAAAGAGATCACCATTAAAAGATGGTCATGGTGCTGTAAATACATGTAGCACTTTGTTGGACTCAAACGTGACGCCGGAAGAGGAGAGAGAAACAGGATTAAATATGGACTATCAAAGAGTTACGGGGGTACTGCTGAATATTATCACTCCTGAAAGTGACATGAATGAAGTAAAAAATGAAACAAAGGAAAGAGAACAATCTAAAGAGGAAAGAGATCCAAAGCAAACAATGTCCCATGACCTGCAAACAAAATTGTGCAACCATTGTTCACAAGATGACATTGAGCAGTCACAGGTGAGGAATTGCCAAACGGACAAGGTGAGTGCACTATATGATGCCATAATTCTTGAAAACGCCCCGTCTGATCAAGGCTGTGGCACTGATGAGTGTGATAGTGGACCAGTTGAAGATCAAAATCATGCTACCATTACAGATAGTCATCAAGGTCAAAAATCCCCCTCCAATGAGTCAAGGAGGTCACGGAGAAACATCGTCCCTCCACAGCGCTTCTCCTCTTATGTCACAGCAACGAAGAAGACGTTCTTTGCCGCTTGTTTCTCTGAAAGTATATTCAATCAGAGAAGTAAGGCTAAAAATGTTTTCACATCGACCACCTCAGATGTCTTACGAAAAAATATAGATGGTAATGATGCCCAACTTGAATCAAAAACCAAAGTATCGAATCTCCCTGACAAATTGACATCAATTAGTAGAGAAGGACACTGTTCATCGCATACAGAATCAGAAGAGCAAAGTCGGGACGTGCGACAAACTCAAGCAGTTGAAAAGACAATGCCCACTGCCAGACCTTCAGAAGAAACACAACCACATTCAAAAAGACCATCAGACAAAACTACCGCATCAAGAAGGCTCCAATACCAAAATGTCGGGGTTACTACCAGGTCTGCTACCTGTGCTCACAATTGTTGTACCTCTCCAGTCCAATACACCAGCCCAATCAGGTTAATGTTTGTATCACCGGTAAAAAATAAAGATGGTATTGTATATAGTCTAAAGTCGGCAAGGTCTGGCTCAAATGCACAAGCAGAGGAACCCTTTGACCCCTACAAAGAGTCCTCCTGGGCAGGGACACCAGAGAAGAAGCAAAGCCAGATGACTGAATGCGCCATGCCACACATCAGGCCGACTCACAAATCCACTACCTCTTCTTTTCAACATGTAGGACCCTCAACAAAGTCTTCTCCTTCGCAGCGACCAAAGTCAGGTTCTTCACCAGCCAAGCAAGCGCTCTCAACACCGAGGTCTGCTTCTCCCCCAAAGTTGGGATCCTCACCCGTCAAGTTGTTTTCCTCATCGCCCGAGTCCACTGCTACACCACTAAAGTCAGGTTCTTCATCAGCTGAGTCAGCTTCTGCTCCATTTATGCGCTGTTCTTCACCAGCTACGTCCCTCTCCTCATCACCCAAGACATCACCCGGAAAATGTACTCCTTCACCTAAGTCTACCTCCCCCAAAATAGGGTCGAAGAGATCAGGTGAAGTTACGCCACCTAAGAATCCATTCAGAACGGCAAGCCGATCACCGGGCGACTTGCAATCATTCCATGAAATCACTCCTCTGAAGAGACGCCCAGGCCGGCCAAAGAAACTGGGGCCACATCTGGAACAGAAAGCCAAGCGGCCAATCGGTCGACCACGTAAACAGAAGCCTGAACATGCAGCGACAGGGACAAACGCGGCAAATGTATCTGCAGACCCAGAGGAGAATGTCAACAAGAACCTGAAAATAACTGTTGTCTACGGCCGTTCAAGACGAAACAAACGAATGGTTTCTGAGAGCTTTGATCAGCTCCAAACAGAATTCCGAGACGCATGTCGAGCAGTAGGTCTTAAAAACAACGCGAATGGAACACAAAACTCAAAACTAAATTCAGGTCATCTCAAAATGGGATCACCAGAATTTCCCGAGGGGTTACATTCTGCCCACCATGTCAAAGAAGCTCCACAGCACCCGAGCAGTAAGATTAAATGCCAGAAAGGAGAGAAGGCTTTACCTTTGAGGAAACCAGGTAGACCAGCAAAAGTGAAAATCTCAGGAATCTCTGTCACTGTTACCACAGTGTCGCCCAAGCAACGTAAAATTTTGATTGAGAAGGATGCTCCCGCTCCACAAAAGAACAGGAAAGCACTCCTCACAGACTTTCAAAGTGCCAAAGAGTCCAAGACAGTCACTTGTCAATCAGTTAGCCACAACTTGCAACCGGAGGAACAAAGAGAATCCGAAAGTAAACCTAGTAACAAAGGACTCAATCAACCTTTAGCTGTGCGCCATTCAAAAAGAGTGAGCAAGCCCTCAATTTATTTTTTGCATGCTGTTGCCACCTCCACAACTCGAGCATACAGTCACAGTAACGCTCTGTTACGGCGCTCCAAACAACTCCTGCTGAGCAAGGCCTGCAATAAAAGAAAACAAGAAAAAGAGACTAGAGGAGAACATTCGACTGTGAAAAGGCACCGTTGCGAACAGGAGCGGAAGAACATCTCGCAGGCTCTCGCTCGAGCGGCGGGTGTTTCTTTAGACTCAATCTTTGCTCCAGAGGAGACACTTCGTTGGTGGGCAGCTTCAGCTGAACAGGAGACCTTGAACCAAGCGCTTGCCAGACGCATTCAGCTCATGTCAGACACCTGGGTCTCAGACGCCATAGAGAACCACAGGGTAGACCTCCGATTCAAAGTCGACACCGAAGGAACCGGTTCATCTGTCGCCAAGTCCAAACATTCTTCAGTGGTTCAATCACTGTTCAACTGCCCTCCTTCTAGACCCAGATCCTGTAGCATGCAGCAACTCGGTTCCTGGTTTATGGAGACCACAGAGACGCAGTCACTGGCTATCGTCAAGAGGACGAGCGCTCGCAATCGTTACGAAGTCATGCACTTCCCTCGCTCTGCCAGCAAACATGGCGTCAAGTGCCAAAGTCCTCAGGCAGAACGACTTCGCAGACATCTCAAGAAGTTTGCCAAAATGTTGCCAAAGAGTCCTGCCCAACATGAAAAGGCTCAAAAAAGGTTGACGAAAATTAAGGAAGCTCAATCAATTCACAACATTAGGCAGCGACTCTTCAGTCGCAGTAGTAAAAGGGGTGTGCCCAGCCGAGGCGCGAGAAGGTGGCATCACGTGAGCAAATACCAGGCCGTACGACTTCGGGCAAAAAGTCGCTTCCTGACCCGACAAGAAAGGGAGTGTGCAAAGAAGGAAAGAAAAACGCAAATAACTGCACGTGGGCCAGAAGTGGCAATTGGAATTAAACCAAAACTGGAAGCATTGAAACCAGTGAAAGATGAGTTTTCGGAATGTTCGGAAAACAGTTCTAAAGCCCAATCCGAGGAGCCTGTAGGTACACCAAAAGAGCAGAACATCCGCTCTAAAGCCTGGAATCCCGAGACCCTGAAGGAATGCCGGGTATTTTTGAAAAAGATCAACTCTCCAGACAACATATCAGCAGAGGAGTGGGACTGTTGTACCGTGACACTGGATAAGTCAGCCTCTGCATTTGTGATTGCTCGAAAGAACAGACAACTGGTAGAAGTCGTCAAAGCTGTGAAAAGAAAAGGCCACGCAAATGGCCTGGCTGCATCTACAAAACTGATAGATTCAGCCTGTGAATCGCTGCAGGAGCTGGACGAAATGCCTTTGGGGGAGCAGAAGGGCAAATGTCCCAGCCTTGTGTCTGTTGAACCGCCACCAGCAAAAAAGTTGCGACAATCGCGGATGAAGGGCTTAAGTGGGCCAAGGTGGTGCGACTTTGTGCTTGGTAAGTATCATCCTTCCTTTACTGAATGCCACTTCTAAGAACTGCAATTGTAAGCCAACCAGAACCATCTGGAATTGTGTTCCTTGTCTGACAGGAAGCTAGATGACGCACAAGGCCTTCGTCCTTCGTGGGAATTGGACTGTGGTGTTTTGTGGTGCCTTTGGACACTGAGCTGACCGAACGGACTGACCGTTACACTACGGTTCAGTCTTTCCCTCAGCAATTATGTAGCAGTCTAACTTAAGAAAAGCTTGATGTTGCACTATTTTTATACGTAGAAGAGATTTGACATTTTGAAAAAAAAACTGTTCTTTGATAATACATGCCTTGTCCGGAGAGCTGTTAGTAAGACCAAGACCGACTGCATTAAGACTAAGACAGCACTCTGCCTGAGAAATACCTCTTCATCACTTCCCCCTGAAACTCAGCAAACACATTTTTAGACACAATAGCTAGAAAGGTTCACGTGGTTTTTAAAGTTATTATTGCCCCCCCCCCACACACACACATTTGAGATCCATTGATCTTATAGTCTAAACCTTTGATCTATCTACATGTCGATGCCAGGTTACGACAGTCTTACCATCAAAAACGATGAAGGAATTGGCCCTCATGCATTTTTTTTTTCCTTGCATAGACTTTATTTTTTTTGTTACAATGAAGTGTTGTTTTTGTCATTTTCAACCCAAGCATTTACTGTCACAAATGGGACACTGCCAGCATTAGATGTACTTCTTGCACTATCCCATTTGCGATTTGGAATCCCACTTTTCAGATTCCTCCCCCATATTTTGCACATCCTATGTTCCACTACCAGCACCTATTGTACAAGTAGAGAATCCTATGTGGTGCAATACAAACCCAGATGTTTTTTTTTTTTCCCCTTTCGGTATATAGTCATTATTTTATTACTGACAGATGGATGTACACGATGGCCTGGGATGTCACTTTAGTGGTCGCTATGTAGATGTACAAGGTGACCAGTAGAAGGATGGGCATTGGAATTGGAACAAAATTTCCTAAACTGACTAATGTTATTTTAATGGGATGGGACAAGTGCTGGGTGACACGTCTGCCTCACAGGGCAGAGGTCGAGGGTTTGATTCGGGGCTCCGGCCTTCCTGAGTGGAATTTGCATGTTCTCCCCATGCCTGCATAGGTGTCTCTGGGTGCTCCAGTTTCCTCCCGCATTCCAAAAAATGTTCATGGTAGGTTAATTGAACACTTTAATTTGTCCTTGGTTTAAGTGTGAATGGTTGTTTGTCTATTTGTGCTCTGCAATTGGCTGGCAACCAGTTCAGGGTGTCACCTGCCTACTGGCCAGACAGCTGGGATAGGTTCTAGCACGGCCACAGTGGATAACAGATGGATAGATGGGAGAAGCGCAGTCTGAATGTTCTGAGCTCCTTTTTCAATGCCAGTGTTGAGTAGAATAATGCTGCCTGGAGCATTTTGTAGCTAATGTCGTTTCGATGGCAACCTGTTGAGACTAAATCAACTAGTGCACTCCATTTTGAACACAAGTTTCACAAATTCTTGATGTTAGTTTACTCTGCCATCCCTGAACATGAAAGTTTTCAATCCCAAACGAAAGCAGTTTTGTTTTGTTTTTTTAAATCATAGCATTAAATGTTTTCTTTGAATGTACAAGGATTATTATATCCTGTTCAAATGCAGTTGAGAGATGTTGGTCTTTCAAATTCCTGCTTGATATTGCCTTCTGTTTCCAGCATGAGACCTCCAGAGACTATCGAGGCCCACTATGCTTTTTGTCCAAGATGTATGAATGATGACTTAACACTAATCTTGGATGGAACTTAAGTTCGTCCCTCCCCTTCCTGGAGTGAGATTTATTTTAACTGTATCTCTGTATAAAAATAGTGTGTGCCTGACTACCCATGTATGTCATTGTGGTCACGTTTTAGGGTGATGACCCTTTTTTGGGGGGGGGGAATAACCCGCTCAAAAGAATCTGGTGCTGAACTTCTGTTGTATATTTTCTTGTGGTTTTATACTGTCCTTTACAGATGCAACTGTGACTGTATTTGGAGGAATAAAGGTGTTTTTTCCCTAAATTCCAAATGAGCGTCATGATTAAAATAATTATCCAGGACACATAGTCAACCTGGCATATGTTCCAGACCCACCTGCCATAGATGAAAATCTGTAAAAGACTACAAATATTTTTGAAATGTTGCAACCAATAAAATGGACAGAAAAAAAAAACTTGATACAAGATGCAATCGGCTTTCCTATTGAGATTGTTACTCCAAGAGAAAATTCCATGACTAATTAAATGTTATTTTGTATAGGTTTTTTTTAAACTGCATATTGATTTTTTTAATAAATAACCTTAATTCAAAGGCAAATCAGCCTTAAAATCACTATAAACCTGAGATTTAACAAAAATAAATAAAAGGAGGCAATCTACACTGACCTTTATTCTTAAAATAGTTAAAACTTGGAAAATGCCAGCAATATTTGAGAGCTCAGAAGATGAGAATATAAAATGTGGCCTCGCTTACTGTAGTCTGAGAGGGTCGGTGAATATTTGCACAGAAGCCAACTTTCGGGAACACAGTTAAGACAAATTGGCCTCTTGGTTGAGGAGGGGATTGAGATCTAATTTTGTCTTCTCTATAGCTGCGATCTTGGCCCTACGAGAAGGTCGCACTGCAGGAACTGGGTCGGGAACATTTTCTCCATCGCTGCGTTTAAAAGAAAAAAAAAAGGGGGGGGGGAAATACATGTGAGATTGATATAACTATTTGAAGAAATAAAGGCAAGTCTCACCTCTCCTCGGAAGACTCTGCCCTCCTGCTTGCCTTTCTGCCTCCTTTGGCCGTGCTGGCCTTCCTCTGACCTGCACACACGCTCATGTCACCTCACAATGATGGAAATTGAAATTACAGCCCGCTTTACCTTTTTTGCTTCTCTTGGCTGACTTTAATGGCTCCTCTGATACGGTTTCTGTAGAAACATACACCATGATTCAATGAGTCACCCCCCTTTATTCGAGGCACCGTGAGGCATTTTTTTTAAAATCCACTTATCAACATGTTAGAAATAAAAACATAATCCTCTTACAAAAAGACTGAAAAAGTCATGCCCGCACATAGTGCGGTCAAAATGTTTGATTGCAAGTCGTACCCTCCGCGTTGACATCCAACGGCTGCAGCGCAGATGCACCGAGGACTTCGGCTTGCTCTTTCGAATCTACCAGTTGGGAAATCATCTTCTCCAAAGCGCGGAGACAGACGCGGTCCTTCACCATCTGAGGAGCACCACGGGATGGAAGTCGAAACTTTGAACGGAGCCGGCGCAGAAGAAATTGACAGCTGTGCTGTTGTACACGGGGATGTGGCGTACCTGGACGAGCTGCTGCAAAAGTGAGAGCAGGTCTTTCTTGACAGTCTCGTTGCGGCTCAGCTCCAGGTAGCTCAGCATCTTGGCATAAAGGCGCACCTCCGGGGCAGTCGGGTCCCGCAACATCTCACCACACACGCGCACCGCCAAGTAGTCGTGGACGCTCACTTCCTGAAGCCACGCACGCACACACACCTCAATTGTATCTGTTGTCTCAATGTACCTAATGCAGTGCATGACAGATAAACACTTAAAAGGACAGTCAAGCCTGGGCTTTTTCTTTGGCTTTTTTATGATGCAACCGCAGAGGAGTGATGCCAAAGAGGAAAAGCGTGACAATTACCATAGAACCAAAAATGTCTTCAATTATAATGTCAGAAAGCAGTGCACATCTGTTTTGACTGATGAATACCTATGCAACCATTTTCTATTGGGCCTGTCCTTACTAAGGTCAAGAGTGAACGGGAGCCTCGCCCAGGGGTCTGTGCGAGAGGTGGGCTACTTTTGGTCAGCTTGCCACCCAATCACAGGCCACGTAGCGTGACAGACAACCAATCACACTCAAATTCGCACCTCAACGGCAATTAAGAGCACGACCCACTATTCTTTAATGCGGCCAGGCTCACCCACGAACATTTGTTGGCTTTTATTTAGCAGTTTTTTTCCCTTAAGCTGGTTATTTAAAATACCGGTATATTTATTTGTATTAATCAGTACATGAAATAGTTGGTTACTTCATGTAATATTCTGAATATACTGCATATTTCACAATCATTTATTAGTTACTTATACCTTGAAATTTATTTTAAACAACAAAACAGGGGAGGGAGGGTAGTATCAGAGCTAAAACAGAGGCTCACGCCTCTTTGTAAGGACTTTTTTCAACTCTACTAAAGTGTAGAAGTGAGTGGGTGCCAACCTCTGTGTCCGCAGAAGGCTTCAGAAGGACACTTGGACGGGTCAGTTCCACAAAGAGCTCTATCACGTTGTTAATGTCTATCTCTGCCAATGGAGAAGTGGCAGGTGCATTCATCAGCGTACGCATGGTAGGAAAGAAGCTCTCCTCCACAACTTCCTGGTGGACCCTAACACACAAACACAAAGTGCCATGCTTGTTAGTATCGCAGGTGAGGTAGCACCTATTGCAGCTGACTTCGGGCGAAAGGTGGGCTCGTCACCACAAACACTTAAGCTGAAGGATTTTGAAAAAGAATATAACTGCAATTTTCTCACTTTACTTCAATTGCGAATTTATCTGCCATTATTTTTTAAGGTCATCTTCCCATGTATTTTTTAACAAACAAGTAATAAATGAATCCGCAGAACAATAAATTATATCAAATATATTATACATGGATGATTTGAAGTAGTACAAAAGTATTCATATTCGCACAATAACTAAACAAACAGACAAAACGTTTTCAACCAAAAAAGTTATTGAAAACCAAATTGAATAAAAGCCAAAGTAATTTGTAAAGGGGGTCTGACCTGCTCTCGCGGGCATAGAGATGGAAAAAGATGCCCAGGCAGTGTCGGAGACGGACGTCGTCCTCAGTAACCGGGTTGTACCACAGCAGAACCAGACGTGACAGGATCTTCGCACTGGACATGCGTCCCGTGTACATCAGTTTGGCCAGACCCTCAGCCGCCTCCGTGCGCAGTTCGGACACCTGCATGTGACATTTAGGAACGCGTGTTGTGTTAGAAAGTCATGTCATTGAAAAGTTTGACGACAGACTAGTTCGTGATTATTTTATAGCAAGATGAATGGTGTTTGCTTCACTTTAATTCTTTGTATTATTATCGAGCCTCCTTGTTCTTTAACCTGAACACACTCATCCGGATGGCACAACTCTAAAAAAAATAATTATTGGAGACACTATGCTTTAACATTTGATGGTTCTCTCCATGTTATGTTGGGATTTGCCAAGAGAATATTGAAAGTTATTCCATGTGCAAGCTGACCTCATTATCCAGGAGCTCCGACAGCATCGCCAAAATGCTCTGAGCCGTGTCCTCTGACTTGACCTCAGCCTGTGCCACCACTTCCTCCTCCTCCTCCTCCTGGTCTGGTGATCCCGGCAGCTGATTCTTCTGACCGCTGCCAGTTTCAGAGAGCAGCTGAAAACCGAACAGTAGCAGCAAGTCGATGACTGCTCGCAGAGCGATGATACGAATCTTGACCTCGTCCAGCTGAGCGATCTAAAAAGAGAAAGTGCACCCATAGACATTGACATGTTACTTTTAAGTGTCCTGAGTGTGCGGTGCATAGAAGAGGTTGAACTTTGGAACCCCTGATCAAAATGACAAATGTCATATCCAAAGAGGTGGTGATCAATTGATTCAAGACAATTTAGTGCAGACAAAGATTTTGATTGTACAGCCTTGAAGGAGGTCAATTGTAGAGTCTTTACTGTTTTATAGTGCTTAATGCATAGTTCAGATAACTAAAAGGTGTGCAAAACATTACCTGTAAGAGAAGGACCATGTGGGTGCTGGCGAGCTCTTTGCTATGGAGAGCGCATGTACCCAAACATAAAACAGCCATACTGCGGACAGTGGGGTGAGGATTTGCGATGCCGGGCAGGATCTAACGGGAAAAGAGGTCACTTCAACCAGCAATCTATAAATTTCATCAAAACCACTCCCTTCACCATGTATCAAAATACATGGAGGTACATATGCAAACGACTAGTTGTTCCGACACAATGAATGACATATACGGTACTTTCAAAAAGTGACGAGGGCCATGAATGTTGATTCTCTAATAAGTGAAAAGGCCATTTGCGCTGGTAGTTCATACCAGTGAGGACATTAAGGCACTTATTGTCGGGTTGATTCGATTCTTGATCTTCATCTGCTTGAGCAGCTCAGCACACATTGTAAGACACCTCAACAGAGTCTCAGGGTCGTTCTAGACAACAAGACGAACAAATTGGATTAGTTGATACAGTAGCTGAATTTTTTTCTCCTGCATATACCAGATTTCTTTTGACAGTTACCTTTGCTTGAAAAAGATGCCATGAAACCAATTAATTTGCTGGGGACATTGCCCACTTTGAATAAAGAAATGCCTCACCTCAAACATACATCTCCCTTTTTACCACCTAAACAAACAAAATAAAAGGCACTGACACTAATATTAGATTGATTATAAAACATACGGTATTTTGTACCAGGTCAAATATCTGAATGAGTGTCACGATTTATAAAGTGGCACTGAAACTTATTCATGCATAAGATTGTCCATTACATTAAGTTTCTAGATGTACAAACTTCCAACATTCAGTATGGCCACTTTCAAAAGTGACCATTTGTTGTATTCAGTGATTTAAACTATTCTTGTTTTGTTGGTTCGCTACAAACTAGGTTAAGTTTGGATACATTTTTGCAAATGAACACAATACAAATGATAATGCAGTTTGAAAAAATCAAAATAATAAATACAGTGACTGTATGCCGTATGGCATATACAGTAAAACAATTGACTAAACAACGAACGTCCGCTGAGAGATCATACTGTAAAAGACACAGACATGCGAACCAAATGAACCTTCAAACAACACTCAGGGATGAGTCCGGGGTGTTGTATATTTATCTTCGTCTGTAACTATTAACGAGGACACAGGAAACAACAGCACATCTGTGATTAATTGTGAAGCTCTCTTCAGAATGCTAAACAACGATGTGTGTGCCTTGTAACCATGGCAACAGCTCGGAGTGAAAAAGGGGTGGACTGTTTTCTTCGATCGCTTTTCTTTTGGGTGGGCGTCAAATCCCTGGTCTGTAATGATTTTCGGAAGACTCAAACATTTTCCGCCTTTTAACCCCAGATTGTTACAGCCAACAACGGCACGCGCACAAGGCCTGTTCAATGGCAAATGAGGCTGTTAGCAGGGCTTGTCAACCGATGTGTCCGCGAGCAATGGATTGTGGGTAATCCAAAGAGCTCGAAGCACTCTTATTATTTAACGCATTTGTCCAAACAAAGGCATTCATGTATGGAGCGTTGCAGTATACTTTAGACACAGTTTGAGGTGACGCCCCAAACGTCAGGTACCTTCTCAGTACGGATCTCATTGTCGGCTGGCTGGGCGCTGGCTGCGATCTCCTCAAGGACCTTGTTGCGCTGGTTTTCCTGCTCAGTGATGGAGTCCTTCAACTGGGCGGCGCGACCGAAGTCCTGAGCAGCGATGCATTCCTCCAGGGCTTGTTTAATCTCGATGATTCGCACCTTTATCTCTGCTAGCTAAATGGGAGATCGAGAAGCAATTAGAGGAGGAGGAGGATTATTCCTTAGCTAAAAGCACTCTGGAGGATTCTTGACAAAAGCCAATGAGAGGCAGCAACAATAACGACAACAACAGCGGCAGCTGAGGCTCTGGGCCAGGCTGCCGCTGTCTGGAGACAGTACTCTCTAAAGAAGTGTTTCCAAACCATGGGTACATGTGTACTCATCGGGGCATGTGAGCACATCACAGGGGATACGTGGAAACATGCAATACTGTATTTCCAAGATGATAAGTAAATATTCTCAGTCATTTGCTAAGCCCGTCAATAAAATGCTACCGTTGGTGTGCTCTACAACTTGTTTCCATGAGAGACATGTTTTTGTTCCTGATATTTGAAGTTTAAATGCCTGCTTAAAGGGGAGTTATTTAAATAAGCACCATTTTTGCTGGTAAACGTTCAATTTATTTTACTGGTATGCATTTATTTTAAAGGCAACATATTCAATGTTTATGTTCAAGTTAAAAAGAAGATAACGCCTGAAAACTAAATCTTACAATTAAGAAGCTGAAATAAAATGATGTTCTACTTTTGGAGAATCATCAACCCTTATTAGTTTGGGGTTACTCAAGGTATGATGAAAGGATTAAGGGTAAACAAGAAAAAAAAATTGGTAACCACTGCTCGCAAGAATAGATGAAGGGACGTGGGGGGGAGGAGACAGGAGAACGTAGTAGATGGGAGCAAAGGATGCTCATTGCGATTAAGATGCAAGGAAGGAGTATAAATCCTGAGAGGCTTTCAGTGATGGGGAAAAATACGAAAAAACAAGACTTTCTATTTATTCAAGCAGATGGAGAGCCATCTCTGCATACACAGTATATTCACCAACTTTAATCAGTCAGCTGCACTTTGCCTGTTAAAATAAATAACAGCCATCTGCTGGATGGAGAGAGAACATTTGGAGGAGGATTTTCCGAATGTTCCCACCTGAACCTGCTGGCGACGACTGCCGTTCTCGTCCACCGGGTGACTCGTTTCTGTGATTGGCGCCCGCACATCCGAGATTATTTCCGCCACCTGTAGTCCAGCAATCAAATTAGAAAACATTATTTTCAAGAAAATTTGGGATTTCGCTTCCCCTTTAAAAATATGTTTCACTTTAACATACACAGAATTGCCAAGAGGGACGACAAAACGTATGTCAGAAATTGATCTCACTGTCTGAATGCGTCGCTGGTCATCGGGCATGAGTGTGAGGAGCTTCTCGGTGAGCAAGAAGACCAGTGAGGAGGGTGTCTGTGGCAGAGCCAACATCTCCTGCAGCACTGCCAGAACACGCTTCCTGTAAAGGTGAACTGATATTAGTCTAAAAATGACAAGCCCCTCAGCTATTCAAACGCGTCAATCAAACTTCTTACCTGCCACCTTCCTCGTTGGTGTCCAGGCATCCAATGAGATGGATGAGCTGCTGAGAGATAAAATCCTTGGTCATAACCAACTCCAGGTGGTTCAAGTCGGCTTTCTGCTCTTCCGAAAGCATTGGAAGTGCCTTCAAATACCTGCACCGTGTCAGAATTGACAGTTAGAAAACAGCAGCAGCGGCTACCCCCCATACCTGGTCATTACATGCTGAGTAGCAAATAGCAAGAGAAGATAATTTTTTGAAAAAGAAGTCTTTGGTTATCTGGATTGTGTAGTTCTATCTAATGAGGTGCTAAATCACACAAATTCTACAAATCAAACCCATTTGTTAACATTATAGTTGTTATAATATTACCAATGGCTCCCAGCTAACTTACAGCAATCTTTGCAAATACAGTACACGAACATTCAAAACAAATATAAATGTGCCTTTAGTCATTGTGATTCACCTCATTAAAAATGTGACACTTTGTTTAGCAATTTCCCTTGACATGTGCTTGTGTGCATGCAATGGCTCTCATACTCGTAGAGGTAGTCGGCGTAAGTGGCAGCATCCGGCAAGACCTGCTCCAACATTTCATCACCATCATCACCTTTTTCCTTGATAAACTTGCAAAGGGCTCCCCAGTAAAGCACATTCTCGCATGTCAGTGATTCCACTGGGATCAGGTTCCTGTTCAAACACAGACATACAATCATGGTTTACCTATTCAAAAGGCAGAAAATAACTTGACAAATGTACCTGCTGTTCAACTGCAATCTGTTCTGCATCAGCTCATCAGTGTCCATGCCTTTGAAAATGGCATTCAGCATCTCCAAAGCTGTTTGAGCGCAATTCTCTACATCAAGCCTGTGGAGAAGCTCCACGACATTTCCATCCAGTCGAAGAAGCCAGGCAGGTAGTAGACGGGAGCACACAACCTCTTTTACTGCTTCTACAACACATGCAACCAGTCGGGCAGAATCATTGTAAAGCTCTGTAATCATTTTAAAGGTCTGTGCAATTACTATACGGTAACAGGCCGAAACTATTGTTACCTGATGTGTCGTGGAGTCCCTGCTCCAGTAAGCTCACTCTCTGTGCAATAGACAGAGCTCTAACATGAACCTTGTCAGCCAGAACCTTTGAAACAAGTCAAAGATATCACAAATGAAAAATATATAATAATGTAGCAAAACACAAATACACACACGCACACGCACGACTGCAGAGGTGTCTACCTGGTAGGCTAGTTTGCGGACATTTTCTTTAACATCCCGGGTGCGTTTGAGTACTCTTGGGAGGGTGCAAGGAGAAATAGCAATGCAAGAGAGGACAGCCCGGCGCACCTCAGCATTGGTGTCATTTTCTAGAATCAGCATGAAAGCTGAACGGGGATGAGAGAGAAATAGAGTATTGTGACAAACAACACTGGCCAAAAGCAAGTACATCTGTTGATTCACTACTATAATGACAACATAGAACTTGAATATTGTTTTTGTCGCTGTCCATCATGGTGTTAGTTAGCAGGTTATTTTCTGGTTCAAGGAGGATGAAAAAAAAATATGGGTGGTACCATATCGATTGTGGATGAAATTCAGTGAGGTCATTGACTAAATAAGGTGTGCATATTCCTCATAATCTGAAACAGTAGGTTAGATTTTCTGAGGCTATGGTCCTCAGTTGGAAAAGAGTGGAGTTTGCTCTCCAGTTTGGTGATGAGATCCTGCCCCAATTGGAGGAGTTCAACAATCTTAGGGTCTTGTTCATAAGTTAGGGAAAAAGAGAGCGAAACATTGATTGGTGCAGCATCTGCAGTGTCTCAAACTCTGTATTGGTCTGTCATGGTGAAAAAGGAGATAACTAAAAGGCAACGCTCTCGATATACCAGTTATCAAATATCAAAAATTCTTCTGGGAATACACACCATTGATGGTGGGACAATCAGGATCACTTGGTTGCTGCAGTCGGGTCATGGCCAAGGCAGCCTGGATGCGTACATTGGGAAACTTGTCAGTGACACGCACCAGCATAGCTTGATGGATGCGATCGAAGAGGTCGTCGTCGATCTGAGCGTTCTCTGCCATGCTGCCAAGCATCTTGTTGATAAGCTGGCACACGCGAAAGCGCACTGCATGGCTGTTGGCTTTATGAGACTGAGAAGGAGATCACATCAGTTTAGATGAAATACAAACAGGCACGATGGGAAAAGATTATATTGTACACAGATCATCAACACAACATCATTTACAGTGACCCATAAATCCATCCATTCATTTTCTATCGTGCTTGTCCTCATTACGGCACGCAAGAGCTTATAAATTTCAGGGTAATTTTAGCTAAACTCTAAATGTTAGCACTTTTAGAGCAGTTGACCTTCAGAGGTTCATGCTCAACTACTGTGCACAACAAGAGGCAAGGTGATGTTCGCAACAAATAAATAAATAATTAATACACTCTAGGCATGTTTCAGAGCAATGGGTAACACAAAAATATTGTACCAATCTACATCAATCTATACGGTCCAGTATATAAACATGCAACTTGAAGTAGCAGTTGCAATTTAAAGCAGTGTTTTAACTAAGTACCGAAGAGTAAGTGTGGGTTATATACCTCCAGCAGGAAGTTGAAAAGGAAACTCAAAAATGGATGATCATCATCATCATCATCATCATCATCGGTATTATCATCATCATCATCCGCTTCCTTCTTTTCCTCTTCATCAGCTTTTGGTGGCGACTGAAAACTTGTGGCGAATCTTGCTGCAAATTCAATGACGTTTTCCACTGTGGGCTCACGCTTGTAGACAATCATGGCATATTTCAGGTATTTGACAAACTCTTCGTGGAACAAGGTCTTGTCCTCCAGCTAACAAAGAGAATATTTTAAATGTATTTAACAGAACACACAACATCAAATAGGTATTGTTCCGAACCTTCTGAAACAGGTTTCGATTTATAAAACAAACAAAAACATTTCGTTTAGCCTCACTTTGTTGTAGCGGGTCCTCAGGCTCGCCACAAGTTTCGCCTTGTTGATGTGGCCTTTTTGAGCGAACTGAAATGCCTCCTTGACGTCTATTTCGTTGTCCACAGCCATATTTTCCTTCACAGACAACACCTACCGTTAATTCCAGATATGTGTTTGTACAGTCTTCTTACTGTTTAGCTCCAGTGAGCTTTGTCGTCAGTTTTGTCTCTAGTGTATAGTTAGCAAAAGCAGCATAGCCACTCATCACAAAAACCCCAGACAAAAACAACGTAGCCTCTCTGTGTGTAAATAAATTCACCCCAACGAAACGCTACAAATCTACAAAATACTTACTAACATATTGAAACAATCAACGTTTTATTTCCTTCGAACATCGTTATTTAATAGGAAGTTAAATTACCTTTCCGACTTTTTCGTGCCGCCTGTTTTCAAATCCAACAACTGTTGCGATCTCGCGAGAACTGTGATACGAGTACTTTTAATGTGCCCCCAGTTTAGTCTCACAGGTGTATTTGTCGGTTTCCCTTAAAGCGCTTCTTATTTTGCGCGAAAGTTTGAAGGTACAGTTTGTTTGTTTTTTAATCACAAAAAACCCGCTAAGTAGACAACTTCAAATTCACTATCTATGATTCTTTATAAAATAAAATCGTACAAAAGGTATCACTGTGCACCAGCTACAACAATTTTTTTTTTGCAATATCTATTCATACTTATTTGTCATTTTTTTTGTACAATGCAGTCATAACTTTTTTAATGAGTGAATACGTGGATGAATGAATGAAGTAGCTCTTTGTCTGTTTACAGTGCTACAACACCAAAAACGGCAACCTCTCAAACCAGCATCTCTGACAGTGTCAATCAAAGCGACAAATATGTCTTTGTAAAAACAACATTGTAATACTACTTTTTTTTAAACATTTAAATAGTATCAATTTAAAAGACTGTTGTTATCATAATTACTGTCTGCTCTGGCAATAAAAGCCTGACAGCAACCTTAATAATGTCTCACCTTTACTGTAGTCATATTAGATTATTGGTTGGTTTGCTTTTCTGTTTATTTGTTATTGCAAAACGACACCCAGTCCAGTTTAACAGATCTCCGCTAGATGACTAATCAGTATTTTTGTTTGTGTCCCAGTTCAAATCTTTATAGCGGTCGCAACAGACAGCTTACCCACGAGCGTGCACAATATATGTGCAACCATCAGCCACCCATCTCTGGAAATCAATTCAGTAGATTGCACACTTTCTGTTTGCGTTTGACCTGAAAGTTTTTTTGGGATTTTCAGGATTTAGATTGGATTGTTTTATTGAAATGAAAGAAGATAATATGAAGGGGTATACTTTATCTCCTTTAGTTCTTAAGCGCTTTTTTAAACTAAAAGGATGTGCAAATATTGGCCGCAAGAATTGTTGTTCGTCAGAACGTTTTTTATAAAGGGTTAATATTATGGAAAATTGTGTTTTGAAATGCTTAAAAGCAATGACTTGGGTCTCTCGAATACCTGCCCACTTTTCAAGTGTGAAATTAACAGTTAAGCAAATTAACCAACCAAGTACTGGTACAGCTTTTCTTTTCTGACTCTCAAATATTGTTTTAAAAATTCCTGGCCTACTTTTGAAGTTGGGTATTGGGTATGTGTGTGTCAGATATTGTGCCCTTCCTCCTCGCTTTTATGAACCAGTAGGATTAATTTACATAATACCCACCTCCACACCAAGTTCCTCCACCAATGACTTGTCGTCTTGATTGGCCATAGTTTCATTGTCATTTCAAAAACCAAAAGGCATAAGCAGAGCTGTGTCCATGTGCCACATACACACAGTATAGTCCCTCATTCAGAAGCAGGAAGCAGAGATGGCCAAAAAATATTTCATAAGCACCACTTACCAGTGAAGAATCCATATCCCTGGTCCTCATGGTCAAGAAAACTACACTTTCATCGTCCCAACAGTATATGGGGCAGGATGAGGGCCTGGCCCCTAAAAACAAGCCTGTTTTTTAGACTAATGACAAATAAGGCATGGAAAACATACAACATGTGTCCTTAAGGCACCTCAGAACTGTTTTAAATTGTGGGGAAAATGCTTGGTATGCTGCTATCAAATTAATAGGCAGTTTAAATAAAACATGATTATTATTTTGCAAAGACAGTATTTTTGATATACTGTAGCTCATTACATCATAATCTGTATTATATGATGCTTCCAGTGAAGGCGGATATATTGGGTGGAGGCCAAAATCCGAATCTTTGACCTCTTCAGAATACCTTTTCAAATGTATTTTTACCGAAACATCCATTCATGTTCTATAGTGATTATCCTCATAGGGTTGTGTGTGAGCTGGAGCTCTGACTTTAGGTGAGAGGCAAGATACTGTACACTTGGGACTGGGTGCCAATCTCTTTGTTTATCCAAACACATTTCAGCCTCGATGTGCTGCTATGTCAGTCCAATCTGTATTGTAACTCAAATTAACTAAGCTACAACAGCAGCAATGTGAGAAGTAATTGTTTCTTTCACCATTCAGATTTCAAATTCACCTCACAGGGCCACAATAATGTTAACATACTGGTATTATTGGATTTTTCTACCCTCTGTTGGTTAGTCAGAGCTAAACTTGTTACAACTAAAACATGTATGTAACAATCTGCACATATTATTGCATTTATTAATTTGTTGAATATTGATTTTATGCACTTGATGTTTGTGTTAAATTATGAGATACATATTGTTTCGGAACAGCAATGGGCTGTTGGTGGCACGGGTACTGTCTATGAGTCGTTTATTAATTCGACACATTGAAATGTGTCAAAGGAAACAACGATTTATAGTTGTAGATGCAGTGGTGCTGACTGACGGATTAAAACAACACGAGTGGACCGCCACCCTTCGTTGATGGACAGTGATACAGCAACGCCGGTAGGGGCGGGGCTGCACTGCAGCAGTAAACCTCCGCCTGCTCGTGCCTCCGCAAATGTTCCGCGGGTTACGCACGCCCCTTTCCGCCCCTCCGCTCGGAGACAGGTGGTTGGCGTCCAGTGCCTCCATCCTCCCGCGCCCGAGAGGAACAAATATCTGTTGGCACCCCAAGGCAAGGCTCGCTCGTAGCGAGCGCGTCCCCGATGGACTTCCAGCGTGTGACCTCCGCGATCGCCGGGCGGAGGACAGTTGGGGGCTGCAGCCGGAACGCTCCAAGCGGTGAGCCCCGCCGATCCACTCCCAAATGTTTTCCACACAATTCTACCGGCTGCCTTACGAGGGAGGAAGCCTACCGGCGGAGGAATGACATGCACGAATGAAAAGTGGACACCATTTAGGCGGGGTTCTGCGTTTGATTGGCGGCGGGATCATTTGTGATTATCCTCCGGGCTTGGAAGTTGTTCCCTGGAGGGGAAGCGGCTGTCAAAATGGCTTCGGGCCCCGGGAAAGCTCTACAGACCCCCGGCCCGGGGTCTGCCGTTAACGGGAATGCGGCAGAGTTCCAGAACGTCGAGCAGGAGCAGTGCGACTTCCAGATGCACAACAAGATGTGCAAGAAGATCGCTCAGCTCACCAAGGTAGGTGGGACGTGACCGGACGAACCTGAAGACAGCGCCGCCTCTCGAGACGCTGAGGTGCCTTGCGTGGACGTTATTTTTATTTATTTATTTATTTTTTAATCCAGTCTTGCAGACGTGCGCAGAAATTATATCCAGTGTATATGACACACCACGTTACATGCATATTCATGATAAATTAAAATAAGATTTCTCGCAATTCGATACCGTACGAAAGGATTCAAATCTGCCTCACTTGCATTTCAAGTACAGCCCAATAGAATTCCAATTGATTTACATCAACTCTGCATGCTTGACAACCCATCCCCAAGTTTAGCTTTGTTTTATGTACTCAAACACCCCCTGCACACTTCATTCAGTACACTTGAGCGCTTTTATTTGTTCAAAGAAATTGATCAAAAATCTGTCTTGACAAATAATAAATACTTCATTGACACTATTTTATTTTCTCTGTGTAGAATAACACTGCATTATACTGAGATTTGTTTCTTATATTGTGCACAGTAGTAAATTGGCCTATTTTGTCATTTGACTCGTGCCTTATCTCAAAATGTTACGTTGCCTGTGTGATTGGGCCAATTAAGAATTTGTGGTGTATTGAGTGGATTAGTTCATCATCTCCACTCTCCATCTCCTGGGTTCGATTGCATGTTCTCTCTGTAGTTTGCATGCGTTTTCTTGTCCTAGCTTCCAAAACCATCCATGTTACTTTG